CCCCACTTATGCGTTCTCCTTCCAGCACCCCTGCTGGCAAAGCATAACGCGGAGCCAACTGGCAAAGCAGAAATGGGCTATGCATAGTCCCAGTACTGGCATCAAAAGCTGATTATAGAAAAGAAGGTTGTGAGTATAGAGACAGTAAGTTAAAAACCACACAACATTAATATCTCCTAGCTCATAGAAAAAATAGGTTTTTATTTTCTATAAGAAAAATATATCATTAACATTTGTTCTAACAACAAAATATCTAGGAAAGGAAGTATTGTGAATCAATTTCTCAAGAACCATTGATTCTGTGTATATAGCTTTTTTTTTTTTTTTTAAGAGATGAGATCTTGCTCTGTTGTCCAGGCTGGAGTGCAGTGGCATCATCATAGCTCACTGTAGCCTCTAACTCCTGGGCAAAAGTGATCCTCCTGCCTCAGCCTCCTGAGTAGGTAGGACTACAGGTGCATGCCACCATGCCTGGTTAATTTTTAATTTTTTTGTTAGAGACTGGGTCTCGCTATGTTGCCCAGGCTGGTCTTGAACTTTTAGCCTCCCCCCTTAGCATCCCAAAGTGCTGGTATTACAGACATGAGCTACCAGACCTGGCCTCAAGTTTTTTATTTCTGACTTTCAGGAAAAAGTGTATATTTAATAAGTCAAATTTTCACCAAAACGCATACTACCTCAAAAAAATTTGCTAATCAAAAATAGATCCTGAAATTTGAAATATCGCCATTAGAATTAATTTGTGCTAAACCAACGACCACTATTAAAATATAGATATATCTCAATTAGTATTAGGTTTTCATGTGAGTAAGAGACCCTTAAAAAGAGGCTAAAATACAAATAAACATTTATTTCTTACATGAATAAAAGTCCAAGGAAGGCACTCCAGGGCTCAGATCGTGGCTCCAACATTATCAGGGACCCAAGTCCATTAAGTCTCTGCTCTGTCATATCAAGGGTTATGCAGATGTAATCTGTTCTAATATGGCTGCTAGAGCTCCAGCCATCACATCTATATTCTAAGCATCAGTATGAAGGAAAGGAAGAGGAGCAGACTGTGATCCGCTTACAACTTCTTACAAGTTCCACACAATACTTCCACTAGCTACAAAGGAGCTTGTAGACTTTTAACTGGGAAATCGTGTGTCCAGGTAAAAATTGGTACTCTCTTAATTTGAGGAGGCTAGGCAGAATGGCTACTGGTAGAGAACCAACTGTCTCTGCCAGATGCTGCAAAGGATATTACTTCATCAGTCATAAGCCTTGGTGTGAACAAGTCCGTAAGCTGCTTTCTGAAATGAGATTTCATAGGGAAGAATGACTGGAGAGTATATGAGGAAACGGGGCGGGGGGAGTGGAGGCTGCCGAGTGGGGGGGATGCAGGACCTTGAAGACAAAACTCCTCTATTCTAGAATTTTGCTCACAGCCAGCATCAGCCCCAACGCCATCTTCCTTATTTACATTTTCATCCATTTAAAGAATTTGGTTTCTATATTAACAGGGAATGGGTCATGTCATGGATCATTTATATTTTGTTTCAAAGGACTAAATTATTTTTTAGAAGATTTAACCCTACTTTTGGTTGTGTTCTTCCTCATCTCTTTTAGAGAAACACCTTCTAATGCCAAGAGGGGTTCTGGATTTCCATGGCTACTGCATTCATCCTTGTGACTTTGTCTCTCCCTTCCCACGAATCCCAAAGGGGTTGGGCGAAAGGCATCTTATTGATAAAATGTGATGCTTTCCAAGACATTCTTTACATGCCCTTCCTTGTGCAAATATGGTCAAAATGAATAATTCAGGCCAACGGAGTGAGCATTTCTCCAGCGATGCTTGGGTGAAACTGTCTGGCTTTGCAAAGTAGTTCTCTTTATAGACTAGCAGCATTACTTTACGACGTGTCTGGGTGACAGGCCAATTCCTTAAGTGATTTAAGTATAGGTATTTAGTATTTTCCAGCACTTTTGCTTTTAGAACTAACTTATAGGGTAGAGCAGCTGACCATGCTGTGCCATGGCACATTGCCTTGGCAGAATCACTAGCAGAAACATCATAACTTTCTCTATTAGCACCTCAGTTCCCCCAAATTTCACTAGCTTCCAGCTACCTTGTCTTTCATACTTTGATATGTTCACTCACAATAAGCAAAAAATTTCAAGAGGACATTGGAGGAGAAGGGGTGGTAGGACAAAGAAAAGATGAAGATTCAAATGAGGATTTTATGATGTTTCTTCATGTTTGCTGCAGAGGAAATATCTGCAGTTCACAAACGTTTGTGTGGGGTCAAGATCCGTCCCTAATCACATAGGGAAGTGGCTGCAGGCTGAGCCCCGCCCGGCCTCTGTGGGCAGCCTTCACGGTCACCCTGCGCTGGTTGTAAAGACAGACGAAACGCGCCATTCCTTGCTGACCCACTCTGAGCCCCTCACTCATCCCTACCCCTGGCTGATTCTATTTTTCTTAAGATATTGGTGAAATCAGAAAAAGGATCTACATTGAACATCACTCAGGAAAAACCTTCATCTAGAAAACCACCTACATACAGCAAAATTAAACAGCCCCCGTAGCTTAAGGAAAAACATTGCCTTCGGTAATCCAGTCCCTCTTCTGCTTTTTCCATCTCGGAGGTTTCTCTTCTGTGCCCTGTCCGCTCCTCCTTCCCCTAAAGGCGAGCGTAAAGGCTGTGGGAGCTTCGCTACCTTCCCACGAGGCATATGAATTGCACATTAAAACGGGGATGCAAACTAAAGGGAAGAAGCTCTGCCGGTGGAATTTAGGCAGAATGAATAATGGAAAGAGCTGAGTATCGGAGCCAAAGAGAACTGGAAAGGATTCCCAGTCCTGTCATTTAGAAATGGACTGTCTTGGGCAAGTGACTTCTCTTTTCTGAGTCACACTTTCTTTATTTATAAAATTGAAATAATAATACCTGCTTCATAATTATTTGAAAATTAACTAAAATTTTTTTATAAAAATTTGTGCAATATGTGGTATGTAATTAGCATTCAGTAAATATTACTTCTCTTACCTTATCAGAAGGGAGATGGAGGAGTTGTCAGGGCAAGACATGGGGCTTTCTCGATATTCTAATAGGCTGGGAACAGAATTGACAATGTCTGTGCGTGCGTGCGTGTGTGTGTGTGTGTGCGCACGCATGTGCATATGTGTATGCGTGTGTATGAGAAAGGGGGTGTTCAGGGGAAGGAAATTTACTTGATGGCATTAATTTTTGTAATATGTAGTCTTAAGTAGTGTTAGTGTGCAACTTCTTGGTATCGAGGAAAATGAAACACTAAAGGTCCTTTGTGAACAAGAAATCAGAGCCGATGAAGCAGAGGGGTTTGGGGGTGATTTTGCCCATGGGCTGATAAATATTTTGATGAAATATTTTTACCTTATTCCTGTGTTCCCTAGACTTACTTTCTCTTTTGGACGGTGCTGATCAAGTGATAAATTTCTCTCCGCTTCATTTTCTGTGCTGGACACTCTGGGGCCAACACATACTTTTGCCACATGTGTTAATATTACTGTCTTGGGATCTGTCAAAATGAAGAATAACTTCCTTCTCCATGCCAGACCTGATTCGATATTCTTCATGGCAAAGATTCAGACCTTTCTTGGCACCGAAGTGCAAGAACTGGGCACAAGTTTTCCAGCTCTTTTTGTCCCTTGTCACGCCCAGTGCCCGGTGTTTCCGTATTACCAGCACCGCCGTCCTTGTTCTGCCTGAACTTGAGTGTCTGCGTGGTGTGCAGGGTCCAGCCTCACATCAGCTAGGTCTTGCTCCTTCTGTGATGGAGGACGGGTGCTCTAGAGTCTCCAGCCCTGATCTGGGTCATCCTTCAGGGAATGAATAAGGTCCTGAGGCTTCTGAAAGCAATCATTTCTGGAGCTAGATTATAGACCCGTGGTAAAATTTACCTGTGATTTTCCCAAGATGAAAACTTAGGCTTCTCCCATAGTGGGATATTATTAGCCCTCTCTTTTGGTTTGTTTGGAAAATCCAGTGGACTGTTTTTATTAAAATATTTAGAAGATATATATATATATATATATATATATATATAAAGAGAAAGTAAGTATGATTCCTAAAATAAAGAGCATTAAGTAACATCTGAGCATCTTTATTCCATGGAAGATCTGCAGATACCCATGGGTGTAGGCCTAGGTTGCATTCTTTGCTTGAGAATTGTGGCCACGCTTTATTAATATCCCTTTCCCATAAAAAAGAAAAGTGGATACATGGTGAGTTATACCTCTCTGAGGGTTTTCCTGATAATCCTTATATTAATAGGATTCACTATTGCATTAAATTACTTCTTTTGCAGGGGTTCTTAGTTTCAGGTCCATGGAAGCTTAAGAAGTCTGTGAGACAACTATATCTCAATTAAAATGTATATCACAACTAGAAATACTTGACAAATTATTTCAATGACTTGTAATATTAAAAATTTTATTCTTTGCTTTCAAAAACATTTGTTCTGAGACAAAGTCCATAGGCTGTCCACAGAAAGGTCCAAGGGATCCATGGAACTAAAAACTTAAGAATCCCTGAGGTGGTGGAAGTTTCTGTGGGCTTCAGGAGGTCTTTTCATATGACCCGCTGATGTCGTTAATCTAATTTTCAGTTTTTGGTTTCTTCCTCTATGGTCTCACTACCCTGGACTGTTGGTTTCTGCCATCTGTGTCTATGTTGTGCTGTAATTGTCAGTTTTTCTTTGGACAGAACACTACTTTCACTATGGTAACGATGTAATTCACGATGGAGAATTTCTTCATATTTATTTCAAAGTGTATTGAACAAATCCTATGGTGTTGGTTACGATGCCAGCCAAAGGGGATACAAGGTCAAAAAAACAACCCACTTCCCTTTATGCCTTTTATCAGCTTACAGTCAAGGGTGTGTGTGTGTGTGTGTGTGTGTGTGTGTGTGTGTGTGTGTGTGTGTGTGTTTATACATAAAAACTTCCTGATTCGTGTCTCCCCCACTCCCCCACAGATTGTGGAGACATCTGAGGCTTAATGGGGACTTTCCAACATTCCAGACTGCTGCCCTGCAATGAAGCTCTGAGTCACGGTCTTTGGGACTAAGGTACTGGCAGCAGTGTGAACCCCAGGACAGCCAACCTCGCTAACCTTCACTCTAAGCAAAAGCCCAAAATGAGTCTGACCTGAAGTCAGAGCAGGCGCTGGAGAAAGACTTCTTTGTTAATGGAAAGAGGAAAGGAGAAAAGGGTTTCCAATAAATTGCAACAAACTTTTCACCATTCTAAAGAACCCACCTTCCTTATCAACCAAGCTGTTCTATCCAGTGAGTCCTATTCTAGCCTTTTGCCAGAAACAGAGTGTGCCAATCCTGGTGAAAAAATAAAGAAGAACACTCAGAAAAATAGACCTGGGACTGTTATACTATCAAAACTGGCAAGTAGGAGAATTATGTCGGGAAGCCAGCTTAGCCCCCCTGTGATCCCGTCCCGCAGGCCTGGATTCCGAGTGTGCTATATCTGTGGCCGAGAGTTTGGTTCCCAGTCACTTGCCATTCATGAGCCCCAGTGCTTGGAGAAGTGGCGTATTGAAAACAGCAAGTTGCCCAAGCACCTGAGGAGGCCAGAACCCTCCAAACCACAGCCGCTCAGTGGCAGTGGGTCCTCCAGTCTCCAGGCAGCTAATGAGGCTGCATTTCTGAGTGCCCAGGCCCAGCTTCTGCCCTGTGACTCCTGCAGCCGCACATTCTTGCCAGATCGTCTTCTTGTTCACCAGAGAAGCTGCAAGCCAAGGGGTGAGGATCCCAGAGCACCAAACCCCAACAGGTCTGACGGTCTTGCTGGTCTCAAGAAAGTTCCCAGTGGAATCTCAGCCCGACCAAGGACTCTTATCTGCTACATTTGCGGTAGGGAATTTGGCACCCTGTCTCTTCCGATTCATGAGCCCAAATGCCTGGAGAAGTGGAAAATAGAAAATGACCGGCTCCCCAGAGAGCTCCGCCGGCCACTCCCACAGAAGCCTCAGCCCCTTCCAACTGGACAGTTGAGCCAAGAGGGAGCGAGTCAAGTTCAGCTTGTACCCTGCCCGAATTGCGGCCGGACCTTCGCCCCAGACCGCCTCCTGGGACATCAGAGAAGTTGTAAAGCTCAACCTCGTGGGCCAAAAGATCAGAATTTGACCTTAGGGAGTAAAGGTGGTCTAAAGGAGCCCAGTAATCCCAAGCAGCAAAGGACCATGGCAGAACCCAGTGTAACTGATAAGGTAATTCATGCCACATGAGACGCATTCGGTGGACCTGCTGGTACCTCCTGCCTCCAGGGAGTGAGAGAAAACTGTCCCCATAATCAGCCGCCTCAGTCCCTAGGATCTTTTCTTTCAATGCCCTATTTCTGCCTCAGTGTAGCTTGTGCAGGTTGACTCCCTGTCGGACTCTAGGAGCCATAGCTCTCTTGGCAAAGTAGATATAAGAACAACTTTGCCTGATGGGTTCATGTTCCTCTTCAATTCTGCTGCCTAAAAGAAAGAGAGATGAGCTTCTTTTTTCCCTGATCCTTCATACCAGTAATCCCTGGGAGAGACTGTAATTTGAAAATGAGTCATTAAAGCTGTGTCTGCATTACAGAGATATAATTCCCATTCCAACAGCCAATATTTATTGCTGGTTTATTTTAGTCATCTACCTTAGGAATTCATTTTTGGCAATGCTGGGTCATGCTGAGTTTATCTTACTAAAATAGAATCTGTGTCAAAGACCCCAAATGACTTTAGCAACAGTTAAATACTGGAGCACTTTCAGAAATACACATGCTCTGTAAATACAGCATGTTTTCTATTAACACTTATATGATTATAGTGAGTAGGGAATTAACCCTAGCAACTAGATTTATGTTCATGGTTCTGGGAGGTGCTTAATCCCACTGCCGTTCTGTGCCCTGTGTTCAGCCCAAACAGCTCTGACCTCCCGCTTGGGCCATTCAAAATAAGCATGATCCCAGGGTCCCCAGGTTATATGGCAAAGAGTTGTTGGGCTTTCACCTGAAGTTTCTTCATCAGTCAGGATTGGGGAGGGATGCTTATGAGGGTGGCTACCTGAAAGAGAGGGCATGGTCCAGGCTCTTCGTCCTTCCATAAAGCCCGTTACCGCATGCACTGTCTGTGCCAACCTTACAGAATACCAAATCATGAGAAATAGGAAGTGGTAAAAGTCTTTTCTCCCTGGCTTGCTACTTGAAACACCCGGCTTGCAGGGATTCTTTAAATGAACTCTTAGGAAAACTAAGGTTACATAGCATTTGTAAAAGATGAAACAGAGGGATTGGTGGGGGAGGGTGCATCCTTTATTTTTAATTCCATTTTTACTTCTTACTTTTTTATTTTAGTACTTTGAGAACTGTCTAGGCCTTCTTCTCAAGGTCCATGTTTAAAATAAAATGATTATGGTCTTACTGGTTTAGGAGATTCCAAGACAATGATTCTAAAGCCGAAGAGTCAGACTAACAGATGCTGGGCAAGTTTTCCAATGAACGTTGAAGAAAAAAAAACACTAGTTTCTTTGCCATATGAAAAACCAAACTCTTCAGTGTGGCATGGTCTTCAAGCTGGTCTCATAAACATGATCTGTTTTTCCCATCTTCTGACTGTTGCTTTTCTTCCAAAACGTGTGGGGTCTGGATTCAGAGAGCAAAAGAATGCGTGTCTCAGGGCCACAAATCAGAAACTCTTCTAGCGTTCCATCTTGCAGCCCTGTTTCTTGATTGTATGCGTTTATTTCAAACGTTCTCATTACAGATCTGGAGATAGGGAAGAGTGTGGTCAGGATTCCTGTGCTTGTTGTTGTAACACATACTTTGTGCTCAAGAGTGGAGCCAACAGGCTGGGCACAGCATGTTCTCACTCTCACGACTGCTAAAAGAGGCTGGCCTGGGCCCACAGCGTCCCAAGAAGACACCTTCCTGACTCACCCAGTCGTCTGGAGGGGGGAATGTCAGGAGAGGAGAGCAGTGGCCCCTCAGTGACTTGTGCATTTAGGTGAGAGTAGGGGGAGGCCATCTAGAGGACATGGCTGTGTCAGAGCACTCCGAACCCTGCTTTCCGGCCTGAGAACGCACGTGTCTGTGGGAAACTGGCCCCACCACTGTGAGATGTGTGCTGGCCTGTTTGGGGACCACACAGGCTTCAGGGGAGGGCACAGAAAGGTCATCCAAGATAGGGTCCCTTTAGCTGCCAGACTTACAACATGTTTGGGTTAATAAAAGTGGAGAAAACTCCTAGGCTTCAGAGAGCTTAAGATCTTTCAAAGCAATGGGGTTTACCCCTTCCCTGGGGAAGACGTTTGCCCTTCCACAGCGCTTTCAGCAGAAAGCCTTTCCTTCCTAGTGCAGTTTTCTTTTTTAGTTACTGTTTGATTCTGCCAATGTTCTTCTTTCTTTGTATCATTTAAATTTTAGATAGTGCTATGAATCACTCATTTTCCATAAAGAATGCTACCCTCTACATTATTAGATTTCAGAATTTCTTCTGTCTGTGACAGCTGACTTTCGCTGCCTGTGACACGCATACATTCCTTTTCACAATTCAGATAATTTCCCTCCGGAATCCTTGATCTGACTTCCGATTAGAACCAGCTATCTTTCCCGATGTTCTCAAGGGATTCAAACTTGCCATGAATTCAGGTGAGGGAAATATTTTCAGAATCGTGATCATAATACCAGCAATACAGTTCACTCGTCTGGGTGACAGGAGCTGTTTCGCTGGCAGAGTGAGTTACCTTTCCCTCGGAACGTGCCTCCGGCATAGGTTGGCTCAGTTCCCTCATGACACCGGTGCTCCTGGTGTCCTTCAAACAATCTGAGCACCAACGCCAATTAGACAGTCCTGCTCCAGGACCTCAGTGGGCATTTCGTGCTAACCACTCCATTGGCTAGAATTGTCCCATTGTTCCTCATTCGAAATATCAGGCCAAATTCACTCTTCCTCATCTCACAGGAAAGTTGTGAAGGACACTAAGCAGGATGTAAGAGGAATAAATGAAATCCTCAGTGTGAATTTTTATTTAAAAGGTAGGACTGTCCTGGGACTGCTGCTCTCCCGTTATATGCCGTAATGAGCAGCATCACACTCTGTCTTTCCTCTGAAAGAAGAACAGCCTGCATGAGGACCATCCGAGTTAGCAAGATTTTAAAAGTGGTGTTAATTTCTGATGAAATTTTGATGTATAATAGGGAAAAACACAGATTATTTAATGAGATCCTTTGATATCTACTTTAGCAAGTGATTTTCTAAATTATGCTGAGGAATATAATAATAGAGGTCATTATTGCTCCTTATTTAGATATGAATGAATAAGTTTTAACATTTGCTTTTAATATTTGGTAAAAAAATTGCCCTTTTCTAAAAGCCGATAGTAACTCATTCTTTAGCTTCAGGCTCTTTCAGGCTCATGGAAACACAGGTTGACAGAGTTAATTAAATATAACTGCAAACCAAGATGAAGCCTTTGTCTAATAACCTTCTATTGGTTAGGTAATGCTTGAGGTTATTTTCATAGGATTTTGCTTGTATCATGTGAAACACTCCTATGTTGCAAAATAGGTATTATTTTTCTTAAGGGAAAGGATCTTTTCTATAAATGGTTGTCTCTCCGAATGTAGTTTTAAGCAACTTTTGGCATCTTCGATGATCGGGTTTGAGCTACAGCCCCGTCAGACACACCTCCAGCATCTGGTGCTGCCATCTGGTGTTTTCTTTTAAAGTAACGCCTTCCACACTATCAAACATAGTGTTGCCTTTCTCCTTTCTGTGGTACCTTCAAATATATTTGAGAAGGTGCCCTCATAATACAAACTCCAGTTCCTTAGAGTTACAATTATGTATTTGATTTGAAGTTAGAAATGCTGCTCCCTAGCTAAATATCTTAAAGGCAGTGGGAACGTCACAATCAGAAAGATGCAGAAGGGCAGGATGGACATTGTCACAGTTTCAAATTCTGTATGCATGCATGTATGTCTGTTGGGTAAGAAAATTTTGGAGCTTAGAGGGAGTTACAAAAGAAAGGGAACTAACTTTTATTGTGTACCTTTATGTCTTAGTCTGTTAGTGCTGCTATAACAAAATACCTGAGGCTGGGTAATTTATAAAGAACAGAAATTTATTTCTCACAGTTCTGGAGACTGTGAAGTCCACGATCAAGACACCAGCAGGATTAGTGTCTGGTGAGGGGTATTGCCTGCTTCCAAGATGGCACTCTTTTGCTGCTTCCTCCAGAAGGGAAAAATGTTATGTCTTCGCATGACAGAGAAAAATGGAAGGATAAGAAGGTTCTCCCTTTTGTAACCTCAAGCCCTTTTTTAAGGGGTTAATTCCATTCATGAGAGTGGAGCCCTCATAGCATAATTACTTCCCAAAAGCCACAGCCCATGAATTTTGGAGGGGACACCATCATTCAAACCATAGCACTTTATGATCAGAACTCTATATACATGACCCTATTTTAATCTTCATAATATTATCATAGGATAGATACTATTTTCCCACTTTCCAGTTTGGGAGACTGAGTTAAGCAACCTGCCCAAAGTCACATAGTTGAGTCACATGTGGATGTCAGAGCCAGGTCTGTCTAATTCCAGGGACTCAGACCTTTCATATCACCATGAGAGAGGCATCGGAGTGGTGGTCAAAGGGGCATGGCTACCCTGCCAAGCTGTGAGTGATAGATAAGACAAAAAAAATGAAAGAAGTTTGTTCATTCACCAATATTTATTATTAAGCATTGGACTAAGTCCTAAATATACAGTCATAAAAAATATAGACACAGTTCTTGATTTCTTGGAGTTTTTAGTTCTATTGAGGAAATTATATGAAATTTAAAAATACGTGTACAATTTTAAATGGATGGTGTGACAATGTGTAATGGTGGGAGATAGACATTAAGGATCTTGGTTAGAGAAAACTTCTTGGAGGAAGACAGTTCAACTAAGACATGAAAGGTGTGAAAACATTACCCAAGAGCACAGATGTGGGAAGGGAATGACTGGAGGAGGAGACATTCAGGGCAAGGGCAGCAAGTATGGAGGCCCTGAGGTAAGAAGGATCTCATAACGGAGCTAAAAAGTCCACATGCAGTCAGAGCCTAGTGAAGGAGGGTGAAGATGAGGCTGAAGAGGTAACATAGCTCCATGCAGCTGCTCTGTGGACACAGGGACATCAGTTGTTTGGCTATTGCGGGAACCCAGGTGAGAGCTGATTTTGGCTTGGCCTGTGGTGTTGGTGGCAGAGATTGGCGCTAAGGTACAATGGTAATAATCGAGAGGTGGAGGGGTGAGGAAGATGATCAAGGATGACTTTCAGATTTCTAGCTCAAGCAAGTACACTAGTTGTGCCGTTTTCTAAGATGAGAAAGACTTGAGGAAGGGTAGGCTTTTGGGGATTAAGAGCTATAGTTTCATTTTGGACATATCAAATTTAAAGCGCTTTTAGATGTTCAGGTGAGTAAGTTAGGCTGGATATATTCGTCTGGAACTCAGAGGACTGAGCTGGGATATACTTTTGCGCATTATTAACATATATTTAATGTAATCATAATGAATGCTGGGTTGGAATAACAGTCCCAGGGCTGAGCCCTGAGACATTATAATACCTAGGGGCTAGAGGAGAAGAAGCTGGAGAACGAGTGCGTGGAGATGCGGGAGGAACACCTACAGAGTATGATGCCGTAAAATCTGAGATCGGAGAAAATGTCAGAAAGAAGAGTATAGAAAACAGTGCAATGCTGAGAGGTTGAGTAGAATGGGACTAAAAACATCCACTTAATCTGGCAATGTAGGTGCAGTTGCTAACCTTGGGAAGAACACAGTCAGTGTAGTGGTGGTGCTTGCAGGGTGTACGAGTGAAAAAGACAGGATGTGTTTTGAGAAGTATGACTTTGCAAACTAGAAGAGAAATAGAAATAGAGAACTTGGGTTAAGAGAGGCTTCTTTAAAAGATGGGAGCTTTTAAACTATGTGTGAATGCTGAGTGTGATGATTCTGTGGGCAGGAGGAGGTTGGATTGGTGAGAAAGGTGATCAGGGACAGTGGAAAACCTGGAGGAGAAACAGACACCAGGGCATGGGATCACCAGTGCGTGTGGGGGGGTGGCTTTGATAGGAGGGGCACTGCTTTGTTGCAGGAGGACGCTGAATGCAAATGAAGGCAGGTTATATGTTGGTAGTGGGGTGGTGACAGAGCTGCAATCCATTGGCTTATCTCTTATATTTTCTGGATGAAATAACAGGCAAGCTTATCAACCCTACCAGATGAGAAAGAGTGAGGTATAAAGAGAGAAAAAAGAATTTTAGGAGCCTTCTTAATCCTTTGTCTCTTCATGCCATCTGTTAAACTGAGTTCCTGAAATCAAGAGTAAGGCTCCTAGAACCATTTGCCTCTATGATCCCTAAACACAAAAATGGCTTGAAATTCTTTGGAGGTGGCAAATAAAACATTCAGTGAGATCCTACTTGAGGTTCTTACCCTTTTAATCATCTCTAGTGGCCCTGGTTCACCTCCTCAGCTGTGCTGATGTCATGAAAACCAGCTTCGACCTCACAAACTGCCCCTTGATGATGCTGACAGCTGGACTACAAATGTCCAGATTTTGCGCCATTTCTGCATCTTTCCTTGGTGCCAGCCATGCCCGCGTATCAAGGCATCGTTCTATGATCCCATGGCTCACAACTCTGCGAAGCACAACATTAAGGTAAAAGGACTAGTTCTCTTCTACACTGTTGGTTCTAGAAGCCAATCCAAAGGAATCTGTGCATATATATTGCATGTACGGACTACGTGAGTGTTGAGGGTTGGGGAAGTTATAAATTTCAGAGAAATAGTATCATCAGTGAAATTGATATATAACTTTCTAACGTGAAAATTTAAAAGATAATACTCACCTGTACAAATTACATTCTAACACAATTATTGAAAGCAATCAGCCTCAATTTATGTATCACATGTTGGTGGACAGAGAGACCAGGATAGATTCAGCTGCCTCTCCCAGAGCCCAAAGCTTGGAGCAAAAATATGTGTTCTCTGCACTGGGACTCTGACGTGTGACTTTCTGCATCTCTAGAAAGAAGAGTATTGATTGTAACTTCTGTGAGAGGAGAGGATCACATGTTATAAATTCAAAAATTATTTAGGCCTAAAATGAACCAAAACTATATCATGGTCATACTCTCAAAAAGTTATCTAGCATAACTGATTTCCTGTGTCTTTTTAAGTTTGCTTCTCCCCATCACCCTCATCTTCTTGCTTCTATCCCCAAACACACAGACATCCACATTTCCTACTGATAGGTGCGAGTGAATCTTCATGTAAGGACTGAATGGATATACATGGCTCTTAAAAATCCAAATTCCAAGGCCAACAACTAAAATCTCTCCCAAAGTTCTTAGAATTCCACGAAAGGTAGCACAACACAATCCGGAAGGAGTCCTTATTGAAACAGAAGTGATTGTCTTGTGAACAGGATCTCACTGCTTAATGTGTGAGACACAAGTTCATCTTTATAAATAGGTGGAGAATTGAGAGAATTGTACTTAGGACTCCATCTCTTTCTCCTTCTTTATATTATGTAATGCTCCTCTTCCTTATGTCTCTTGTCTCTTTCTAACATTTACCTCTGTGAAGTTGTCTTACGCAGAATGAAATGACCTGTGACTCGAACAAGGGCCTAGTAATCCAGGAACTCAGCACATTTCCAATATTCCCAATCCAAGCACCTGCTCTGACCCCATCTTTAAAGTTCCCCCAAGCAGCTCTCACATCCCAGGCTACTTTCAAGCAGAGGTGGTGAAAACTTAAGGCATCACCAGTCCCAATTTAAAGCTTCAGGAAATCGGAGAGAGCAAGGACAGGGAGGGATTGGGGTTAACAACTCTTATAGGAAATAAAAAAAGTTTCAAAGTTAGCATTCTTCACAGCCTATCCAAGGTGATTTCCATTGGAAAACTCCTTTCCTTGGCCGTTCCCTGGTCGGGTGTCTATAGCATGTCAGCTGTGGACAAACCAGGCACTGGAAACAACTCACCTTCCAAGTTCAGGTCAGAGAGTGTCTGTGCTTTCCTGTCGCCTCTCCAACCACAGAAGCTGGACAAACTGAATGTCTGCTCAGTCTATGAGCTTTTTCTGTCTCCCCCCACCACTCCCTTGGTGCTTCATTTTATCCTGTGACCTAGAAGCCATCTGACCACAAGGGTCAGGCTTCTTGCCAAAAGGGAGCACAGACACGAAACACCAGGAAATACCCTCCATCCATTTTCTTCGAGGAAAGTTATTTCTGGCAAGAATTTGGCAAGAGATTTAATCAATACCTCAAATACTTCACCTTCCAACCAATGTTCTTCTAAGGTATCAGAAAAAAAAATATATCTCAAATGTGAAGAGAAAAAAGAAAAAAAAAAAACTTCAAATAGGAAACTGTATTCCTTTCAGAAACATAGACTCTAGTTTGTAATTAGTTATTTGACCTATATTTTTCAGGCTTGTATCTCGGGATGAACATTTAAATGACTAAAATGTCAAACATATATTTAAAATGCCAGTAGTTCTTCTTAAAAAATCAAGTACATGAAGATATTTAATATTAACAGCATTTCCAAATGAATGGCAAGTCCTTCTTATCGTTAAAAGGAGCAAAACAAAACTCCAAATCACACGTAACAGACACTCTTATAGTTGGCGAATAGACAGGCTGGATTGGAAAATTCCTTTACGTGGCATCCAGTGATTTCCAAAAACAATTTAATTCCAAACAACGATCCTTCCAGATGTGACATTTGGGTAAAATTGTTTGGAAACACCAGAAGTAAATGTGAAATACCAGTGGTTTCTGGACAATCAAACTTTGCAATTGTTGAGGTTTGAGACTGAACTAGGCAGTTATTCCTATATATTAAAATGCTATTTATACTTTGTCTGCATGTGTAGGACATGCCCGAGGGAGTAGGAACTTAACTGTGTACATTTAGACTCAGTTAATTTAGCTGAAATCGTGTTTTAAATGGCTGACGGCAAAATTCTAATTTGGGGAACGGAGTCTTTGGTGGCGCAGCCTCATGTTCTGATCTCCTTGCTCACCCCCGCCCCGTGATAGTGTTGGAGGCAGAGAATCTGATAAATTCCTTCCTAGAAAAATGTCTCGCGTATTTGAGTTCTGAAAGAGGATCTGGGGAGAAGGCGATGTTCCACTCAAAGGAGTGAACTGCTGAGGCAGTTGGGAGAGCAAAAGCAGGAGCTTTGCTGGTTTGTCCCATCTAATGGCCGACTCTGTGGACACGTAAGGCAGAACACGATACCCCACTGGCCACGGATGCCCTCACCCTCCCATATTTCCAGAAGCTGCTGGAATCAGGCAGACCTGGGTTCACATCACAGATGCATAATGAAATCACATCTTTGAGCAAGTTACTTCACCTCCCCAAACCTCAGTTTCCCCACCATGAGAAGCTGAAGTGAGAGAACGCCTGCAAGGACCTTGGATGGAACCTTCCAGACCCTCATTGGTCAGCTCCTCCCTGCGCCCTTCCCAGCCGCAGTGTGGTGAAAGGCTGGGTCAGAAGACCCATGGTCTGGAGTAAAAACCAGCTTTTCCACTTAGGAATCGCTCTGCGCCTCAGTTTCCTGGTTTGTAAAACAAGGGCAGCGAGTCTTGCCCAGAGGATTATTATGAAGATAAATGAGATAAAGCATGTGAAGTGCCTAGCAAAGAGCCTGTTATTTGGTGAATACAGGGTAATTGTTAACTGCTATTACACTACTTGATCAAACATTTTTAATAGCACAATATACACAAGGATTTATAAAAGAGGTTTTACTCTTTTTCCTCAGTATAGGGGGAGGGGAACTTTCCCTCTTACTTTCCCATCCAAACTGCATTCCATGATATGCCCTGTGCACTTACCATACACATCTCAATCATGTAGCCTAGTGGAAAGGGTCAGGAGTGCGGAAAATCTAAAACAGAAGCTAAGGCCCGAATTCTTGGTTTCATTTTATCATGCAAAAAGAGAAACACTCGTTGATGGAATGACACCGGTTCAAACAGCTAAACAATCACATAATTCCCTCAGATCCTGGCAAGATGTGCCCTATTTTTGACAGCCTGGGGTCCAGCTGCTAGTGCGGAATGCAAAATCCTCCAGAGCGTAAAGGACTGGAAGGTTACCCTGGGTTACTGCGTGCATGTGGTCTTGGAAATCAGCCTCACGCTTTAATGTAAGAGCTGCTTTTGCATAAGGCTGGGCTTCAAGCTTTCTGTCAGGTTCTGTTGTCATTGCCATCATGTTTAAATTCAAAGAAAGCAGGGAATCTTCAGTGTGATAATCTTTAACGTGGCACTGCTGTTTCTTGGCTGTAAAATACCTCCTCCACTACCTGGCAAGTTTTTTAAATTTTACAGTCAGAGATTCAGTCCTTTGAATTAAAGCACTGCCTTTATAGGCTATCCAGCCATAAGGCAAAGATTCCCTACATAAGTAACTAACTCTTTTTAGCCACTGGTGCATTAATGCAAATTAACTGTGAGGTTAGCCCATTTCCTAGAAATGAGATATAAGGGATATAAGGCAATGCCTTTTGTTGGGGAGACGAGTGAGGAGAGGAGTTGGGAAAATAGACAGCTCTGAGTCAGGAGCTCAGATGGTTTCAGGGGCAGAGCAGGCTGCATAGAGAACAATAGGGAGGGGTGGAGCCTGCGGTATCCTGGAGAGCAAGTCCAGCTAAAGACATTCACATTTAAGACTTTTAAGAACGTTCCTGCCGGCCAAATAAAACATGCCTGTTGGCTGAAATGGCTGCTGGCCCATCAGTTTACAATCTGAGATCCAGAGTGTGAAGCCAAGGGGAGGCAGTACCATGGGGTAGTCGGGGCGAGACGCTGGGAAGAGGACAGCCTGGGTTGTGAGAAGACAGCCGTGAACACTGGAGGCATCCACGGAGTCCTGTGACACCGTATGCAGGGACCAGGGGCGTGCACACTTCATGCCTGAACACAGGGTAACCCGCCCCCGCTACCAACCACCGTTTGGAGTCTCCAGAACAATGAGGCCATTTTTCCTAATCCCACACCTAAGGAGACAAACCTGAGAATTTTAAAGAGCCACAAAAAGTCCAGAATTGCACAGGGCTTCCGTGTCTGGAAAGTAGTTTTCAAAACTAATCTGTCTGCGTTCAAACATGTCAGTGGGCAGAGAAGTCAAGAAAACGCTTTCTCCACTCAGCAGGTCCCCTTCTCATCCTACCCCCGTTGCTTGACTAATTCCAGGTGGAATGTGCTCTGCACATGCCAAATAGGGATCTGTCAACCTGATACTGCCCCAGAAACAGAGTTTAGGAAAAAGTAAAAAAATATTTTGCAAATAAAGGCAGTGAGCGGCGTATGGTCCTTGCCAAGGGCCAGTTCCTGGTTCCGTACTGAGCACAGCACCTGCACGTCGCCTGGAATCAGAAAATCCTTCTGAGCAACAGCACTGGGCTACAGTTGAATCACCCACTGACAACCGCCCTGTCCTCCAGATGTGCTTCCCGTTAGCGCAGCGCTCACCCGAATCAGCCCCAGCTGTTTTCAGCAGATGTCTCCCGGTGCAAACGCAGTGCCAGTACTTGAGATCCCATTGCTTTATTGGCTTTTGCAAAATTGAAAAATATCTTATTCGACCCAGATATTTAAAGACTAGCCATGCCATGCTGTTGGCAGTCACG